CATCCGACCAGACGCGCAGACGCAGCGGCGGGAAGTGCCTCGCGGGACAAGGTTGACGGCCACCCGAAACGAGCGAATCTACAATTACAGCCCGACAGACAATCTGCAGCTAACGGAAAAGATATCCACCGAATGCCACAACGTCGGATCTGTCGATCAATGCATCTCGCGCCACGATCGGGTCAAACCAGTCGGAATGGTACGCGGAAGAAGAGTCAATATACGTGTCAAGTGCGGACCAAAACCAACAAGTAATGACCCACAGAAAGAGGCATGAATCATCCCGCCTCGCGGTTGAGAATTGATTGTATATAATTGAACACAAACACCGTTTGTTTTCTAATTGGATCAATAGACGTTTTTCCCAGCCAGCTCACCTTATCGCTACAGCATNTACAAATACAAGTGATAGATATATTATCACTTTTGACATCCTTACTGCCTGCTTTGGGATGTTCATGGGGTAGCCTGTTTGTTAAACATTTGTTTGAACATGTTAAGGTATCAGTACCCTTGAAAATTTTATCCTAGTCTATTTTAGGTCATTTGGTTGACATTAGCCATGGGATGTACCCAGAGAATTCTTCAGATGTTGTTTATCTGATCTCTTCCCTCCATATATGATCAAAGGCTACTCGAATGTGGTCTTCTATCACACCGGAGAGCAAGCTATTCCTATCTATGCGAACAAAAAACGATCAGTCCGAGTACTTCAATAACCTTGGTCTACTACTATTGTTATAGTTACACAAGGTGGTGCTCTGCTGAGGATAGTTGTTCATTATGGACTACAGGTGGGATATCACTATGTTGGCAAACAACACATAATGTTATCTGAAACGCATCATTGCAATTTCCGGCAACACATCGGGCAACAAATGGAGCAGTCTGTAGTTATTTTTTGAGCTACAACAATTTGTCTTCGATAGTCTAGTTAATTCTCGCTCGTTAAAGAAAACCCCCACCAACTATACTATTTTTCATGCTACTCACAAATGTTAGTAGTACCCCACAACATTATGAATAAAACAATACAC